AATGAAAATAAAATCAACCCGCTGATTAACCTATAATCCGTCAGGGTCAGATTAGGGTTGAATTTTTTTAACTTTGAAACCCGTTCATAACCCAATCCGTATAACTCGTCACCCGAGTTGACCCAACTCGAACCCAATTCAACACACCTGTTTGCCAGGTCTACTTGTCATTGAGTGAGAAAGGAAAGCAACACATAACTCAAACTCTAGGGCCAGTTTAGTTATCCGAATTCAATCAAGAGAGGCACTTGCAGTCCAGTGGTGACTAGTGAGGCACAGTAGCAGCATTAGCATTCATGAAAAGATGATAGATAGCTACAAAATTAATTGCAAATTCATTTGGGGAGGAGAAGGATACTTACTGCCTGAATAATAATTAGTTAAACCCTCATTTTTATCTCTCAACTTTTATACAAACTCGAGTAAATCTTTCAACTTAAAAAATTCTTAATTTAATCCTTAAAATTTAGAAATTTAATCAAATTTTTACTCAATTTTTTTTAATACTATTACTACTAGTAATAAACTCATCCGTGGACTGTGGGAACAATCCATTCTTAAAAGTTAGAATCAAAAAATATTAATAGCTATAGCCCGCCATTATCACAAATTTAACTTAATAATGGTTAGGCGACACAAGATCCACAATTGAAAATGAACTCTACAAAATTACATTCTGTGATGAAGATATATATATGCGCAACACCACCCTCTATAGAAACAAAACCAAAACAAAACTCTTACTTCCACAGACAAAAAATCCTCATTGGACACCACCATTTCTGTCCAATTTGGAATCGTCTTTCTTATCACCTTCCCAGCCTACAGATGAAAGAAACTCTTCATCAGCTAAGCGTCTACCTTCCTCTCTGTTACTGTTATGTTGTGCCTCCTTCAATAAGTTGGCTGGCTTGTCCTGCTTTTCACAATGTTCTAATTGCATGCTGGCTGCTTCAACAAGGGTTGTAATTGTAATGCTTGCTTCTGCTTCTTCAACTTGCATGTCCTCACGACTGGGATGACAGTTCAAGTCTATCTGTCCACTGCTCTTCTCCAACGCATTAACTTCATTTCTTCCTTCATTCTCTGAACCATTCTGTCTTGCACCATTCATCCCTCCATCATCCTTGTTCTCCTTCTGAGACATTTCTGTTTCATGTTCTGATTGGCGTTTCTTCTTGCGTTGCATCAGAGTTTTGAACCGCCGCTTTACAGTCAAGCACACATTGCATGTGCATGTGGGCTTGTGCTTTCCCTTCCCGCTTGGGGGCTGAATGCACACAATGCAAGTGCAGCCAGGGCGGTGTCGGGGATGTTTTGTCGTGGCTCCCATTGATGACTCTCCAGAATCGCCTATTTTCTCCCCCATAACCGCAGCACTGGCCAGAGCATCTAAGCCAGAAGCTTCATGTTCTTTGACTATCTTATGACTTTCTAAAGCTCTACGTTTCTTTATATCTGGGAAAAAACAATACCAAGAGGAGAAAGGAGTTAAAAAGTATATTTTCAAACTGATTTAGGATTCATCTTTACATGACAAATACATGAAATCAGTAACATGACTTGTTAAACAAAAGATCTCCCATGGCTGTAGGCTTGTATAGTCAGGATAGTCAATCAAATAAAAGCACACAAGCATTTTCATCTCACTACACTACTTGTTGAAATACCTGCAGCAATAAAGAGTGGCTGCATAGATAAACATCCATCACTGCGTGTTAAAATTCATGCATGGCTATGAGTTCCCAGATGCAGCTATGTTATTTTCATATTCTTTTTCTTTTGGCAAATCAAGACGCTGAACATGTAAGGAGCAACTGTGTTTAAAACACTCTATCCATACCTACTTCCATGGCCACATGCAGTAATTCTACATGATGAACCATTAGCATCACAAGCATGTCAATCTTGAATATTGATTTATTATCCTTTAAATATCTTTCAACAATAATGGGTGGCTAGTGTTGACAAAGGCATTTGGCTCCTACCTCTACCCACTCTAAGAAGATTCTCCAATTCCTTTGGGCTAATCTCCTCCGGAGCTGAACATGAACACCTAGGGGAATGTAATGAAGTGAAGAGCATAAATATAAAGACCAAATTTCCATTTCATAGATAGATTCCACATGTAACATTTGACAATATAAGAACATAAAGAAAGCTGCTGCACCTGCTTGAGTTCCAAACATTATCCACACATGTCCATTTTGGAGGAAGTAGAACATCAATGGGCAACCTTCTCCATTTGGAGCAATCATCACACCGTGCCCATTGTTCCCGAACCCTGTACAGAGGTTTCAGTAAATTCAGCATATGATGAATGCACTTTAGTAGAAAGTTGATTTAAGATGTTCTTTACCATGCCCTCAGTGATGCAAAACTGAATTGAAGAAAAAAAATTCCATTCTATAAGAATTTAACTAAAGCAGACAATCACTTCAAGTTCCAACCAAAAGAAAGAAACAGATGGGAAACTTAATCTTCTTTTCCGTTTGTTTCTTTATTATTGTGGAAGAAGATGACAGGGAGAGAATAAAGCATGGAAAGAACCACTGATGAAGGGTATGGTTTGGAAGCCACAGGTTTACCTGCAAAATAATCTTTCAACCTTGCCAATTGAATGAAGCGATTAATGGGCAAATAAACTCAGGTTTTTCTCATGTCTCGGACATTCTGAACTTTGCAGAACAACACACAGTATACTCAAGAACGATACAGGATGTGTACAAAGGGTACCAAAGACAAATAAACACTGATGCTTTGTTTGGGAATGCTTTACAAAGACATATTTCAGGCAACACCTTGCCCAAAAATGTAAATTTATTATTCTTAATTAATTTAATTAGTGTTTTATATAGTTTTATTAATTTTAGTTAATATTTTACATATATTTAAAACAGTAAAAGACAGAAAAACCTACAACCACAGCCCAACCCAGCACAGCACCCTCAACTAAGCCTAAATTCCCTTAATAACCCCATTACTTTCCAATGCTGCAGCAAGAAACCTAGTAAAACACATTGTTTAAATCCTTACCCAGATGGCCTGGTGGTGAATAAAGTCCTCTTTCCAAAAACGGGCGCTTCCTATCATAGAAACAAACATTGATCAGATTGCAACAAGAAAGTATAAACATGATGGAATATAAAAGTTAGTACTACAAAAACAATGTAGCATCATTTCAGTAAACAAGTAAAAAGAGCAAATGTCAAATACATCATATTCTTCAAATTCATGGTCCTCAATGGTGACAATGCTTGGATTGACACTTGGGGGAGGACGTAGCAAATCCTGTGCTTCTTCCCATGTGAGTCTTAGCTCCAAAGCATCTTCACTGTGCATTAACAACCTCTTGCTTTTGGATCCAATATTTCGAGCCCTCTTCTTCTCCACATTTGCTACAGTTTGTGGCACTGAAATCTCATTTATCCTACTTCCATGGCTCTCACTTCTACTCCAACTGATATTTCCATCAGTTAAACTTAAATGTTCAGACAGAGGATTTATGTGAGGATAATTGCTTCCTTTTGGTGTTTGGAGGAGACCAGTGGAACTACTAACTGTGGGCAAATTCTCAATAGCATTTGAATGTGAAGTTTCTCCAGAAGACACACCATTATGCAGGGAAGATGATTGGGCATCCTGTTCAAGAAACAATTTTAAAGAAATTTTAAGTCATTCTTGAAAAATTACAGAATGTAAATGGTGGAGCAAATTACGCTCATGGAGCTTGACCTGTGTGTCAGGGTTAGCTGCCTTTCGAAACCCCATAACAAGTTTGCCTCCAGGATCTATTCGACTAAACATTACTGCAACAAAGGGGATAAATAATTGTAAGGGGAAGAGAACTTCAGATTTGCAAGAAATTACAATACTATCAATAGGCTTCTTTGGCCCAAAAAAAAAAAAAATCAATAAGCTTCTTTATTCCAGTCATGGGAAATTATTCTATTAATTTGCAAGCACACAAAATACATAATTAGAAGGACATTGAGAAACTAGGCATATATTAAAAATAAAAATAAAATAAAATGAAATAAAAAACTAGGCATATCATTCTCAAGTAATAAAGAAAACAAGATACCAGTATCGCCTGCTTGTAATTGCATAGACTGTATGCAAGGTGTTACACCCTCCAAGACATACATCCTGCTATTGTTATTGGGCCAAAATCTGAACTGAAACATCCACTCTTTACCCTTCACATCCTGAATCCTTAGAGGAATGCCTTCTGATTGGGAAATGGGAGGAAAATATGCCTGCATTGACTTTCCAGTTCATACAAAACCAAAGACAGGGAGAGAAAAAAGCAAGAGGGAAGGGGAGTTTCCTTTCCCTTTTTTTAACCTTTTGTTTCAAATGAAAGATGACATGCAATTTATAAACTTACTTCAGCACATGCTTTTGGAAGCACCAAACGACCTATTCGACCAGCATCACTAGCACTCAAAACCTTCTCAAATAGTGGCACAATGGTGGAGTTCAAACTTTATAATAACACAGTTAAGGTCTTGAAAACATTTGAATTAATGGATAAAAGTACACTATGACATTAGGTATGGGGAAAAAAAAAAAGGGGCACCAACATAACAGGCATGGATACTCTCCAGAAAGTTGTTGTAGTTCTTGGTCAGTGATCCTTGGCCAGTACCGAGGAAGCAAATGACTTTTCCCTCGTCCCTCAACAGGTGGCCTTGCAATCCGCATCTGGGAAACCGTGCTTTTATTTGTATCTGGGCTCATTGCCAGGCCATTTTTTGAGGGTTTTGGCCATATAGGCTGAGATCGTTGCCCCTGCTGAAATGGAGGTGATGTTTTGCCCTGCTCCCGTTCATCAGCTACTCCACTAGAAAAGAGTAGTGCAGTGTTTGAATTCCTAGAAGGAGCTACCAAAGTCATGCTCAAAGAAGCCTGAGGAAGTGAATCATGCATATCTCTAATGTCTAGAACAGTCTGAGCAATGTCTGTTGTGGAAAATTTAGAGGATCCAATACATGGTTGCAATGGATTTGAAGAGCTGGCACCACCCATTTCTCCAATTGGATGGATCACCTCCTCTCTTTTGTCTTCCCTAAAAGATGTATTTGCATCACCTCTCTGAGACTGTAGAGGAAGGTGGCATTCCTCAGCCTCCATCATTTTGCACAATTGTGCAAGCTTTCTCTCATCAACATTATCACCAACTACCCCACTTTCGACAGGACTGGATCCAGCATTGTTTATCGTCAAGGCAACAAATCCATTAGGAATTCCATCACCATGCATCTGCAGCAGAAGAAGGGGAAATGATAACAAACCCACCGACCAAGATGCTTAATGTGCCATTGGAAATCTCCAAATCATCACATGCTAGCCCATATGTATGCATCATATTTATGATGGGATTAATAGAAAGTCACAAAAATGAATTGCACTAGTAGAAGAGTAAAGTACTGTATGGAAGCAGCTCTTTCCCGTGGCCAACTGCTGGTGAGAATGTATATAGTTTTTAAGTTATAAAACATAATTGACTAGCATGACAGTTCCACACAAAGTATGCAAGTTTTAATGTTTCAACAGACACTAGCCCAGCCTATGTCAATGGTCTTCACATGCAAGAAATTGGAAAGGAAAATCCATGTGAACATCAAACTATAATCTAACACTAGATAATTAGGAAAGCAAGTTAGCAATTTAGATGATAAATAATTACTGGAGTTCTTGCCAAAGGAAGTTGAGAGCTCTTAGCACACATAGTACACCCAACCCCTCCAAAATCCAAGAGTTCAAGCAGAAACTTGGAGGCTATGCAACCACAGTGGAGACGCTGCGATACCAATTTCAGTTAGGACTTATATATCCCATCAAAAACCTTAGACCTGTATATTAGCAGAGAGTAATTGAATAATAAAATCAACTCTGTTGGCTTACCTTGGTGCATTTATAGCAGTCCCTCCAGCCAGTTTCCTCTAGATGGAATGTATCACAGAAAACAGATTTCTCATAGGCAGATCTAAAGCACAGACGAAGCCAGCACAATCAGTATCAAGGGGAAGGTTTGAAATTAATAGAAATAGAAAAAGTTGCTTGCATGAAGAAAAAACAGTATCATTTTGAAATTAAAATATAAGAACAAAAGTTCTTAACTAAAGCTTGAAGAACAAGGCAGAACAGGTGACCCTGGATTAAAAATAAGTGGAAGTATGAAGGGAAAAGGACTTGTGAGCAGGGGAATATAGGAAAATGTTGTCATTTCCTGTCAGTGCCAAATATAGAATGCCATACATTACAGAAATTAAAAAGAATTCACAAAATTACTCAAGCAATACGTTCTTTATGCTGACATCTCCAACCTTAAGTCATTATGAAAATCTTCTCCATTGTTTGAACCTCAATACACAGCATTGATATACATTTAGTGGCTTGTACAAAATAATAATAAGATAAAAATCCAATTATTAACACTATCCATCCAAGATTCAGATTGGATATTTTATTGAAAAGATAAAATGTGGATTTGAAACATCTAGGAAGTGATGTAGGGACAAATCCATCTCCCCAACAACTCTTCCCATAAGGATGAGATGGTGGGTTGGCACAAATGCTGGTTGAGCACAAAGTGAGCCCCTCCTTTCCTCTTTCAATAAGTAGAACAGAAACACCACTTCAGTTAGATAATTAGTTGAGTATATTCCACAAGTCCTCCCTAGAAAATCCTGTAAATTGTAGAGCCTAATCACAAATACAGCATTTAATTGGATTCAGCAACTTGAGGTGAATTGAAACAGAATCATCTAGTAGAGCAAAAACCAAAGGCCAGTGCTCATTTATTAGAAGTAGCTACACATTCTTTTTTTTTCCTCATTTTCCTTTTATAGGAGTTGTCTGTAGTCATTTGACTTAGTTTAACCCACACCCTACGTTGGAAAATTTTAGTAGTTGAAAAGAGTAGCAACCACAATAGTTTTTCAGTTATAGGCGTATTAAACATAATGTTGAAATTTGAACTCGTTGACACAGACACCAGCTTGGAGGGAACAACAGTAGAAAAAAAAAAAAAAAAACTGAATTTTGTGGAGAATCTGAAAACAAAAGGAAGTAACCCAGATGAAGGCATACTCAGACAGTATTAAAACGCCGGAGCAGACAAAGAACCTAAACCCAAATCTGAAAAATGGCATTTGCAGGATCAAATCAGATTAAATAAATAGACATCCAATTATCCAAACACAAAAAGTTAAAGAATGTGAAAAAATTACCCGCAAGTATAGCAAAGGTCAGCATATCCACCAGATCGCAGAGGCCAGCCCTTCTTCCATTCAGGGGTTGAAGCAGTTCTACAGGATGAATTCATGCAAATCTTGGGCGCCATTGAGCTGAAATCAAGTCAGTAGAGCAATCAAACCTAAATCCCTAATACCCCTTTTAAGTAGAGCACAAATTGATGAAGAAATCAGCAGGAGAATGGATAGATGCAGAGTTACAAGGCGTTAACTTAATCCCCCATGCACAACATTAAAAAGATTGAATACCCAGAATGCAAAGAAGAAAACAAGAAGCACAAAAACAAAAACGAGAAAAACGTTGAAAAAAAAAAGAACCTTAATTTGAATCAGTAGACCCAAATCTGAAGAGAAATCAGTGATTGAGCACAAGGCAAAAAATTTGAAGAGAGGTGATTGTAGAGAGGAGAGGAATCGAAGAAGATGAGTTAAGAGAAGTGAGTAACGGCGATTGTGTAGTTAGAGAAGAAGAAAAAAAAAAAAAACCAGTTAACAAAAAAGTGCATGCAAAAGCAACAGATGCAAGGAATGCATGCACACGAGAGGACGACCACGACACTGCACCGCTTATTGCTTAACGAGGAGTTCTCTCTCTTTCTCTTTCTCTTTCTCTTTCTCTCGTCGCACCCCTTCTTTTCATGTTTTTTCTTTTTTCTTTTGGTTTTGGAACACGCCGTTTTGTCAAAAAATGGGACTCAGGTCTGCCCACATACCATATTACCATAACCCAATTCCATTCTCTTACCTCCAGCTGCACTCATATACCATCAATCACCCATATTTGGATTTGTTGACGTGGCACTGCCACCCACCAACCCGCCCACCTGTCTCCCACCTCTAATTTACGCACTACTGCCCGTATTGAAATTTTATTTTTTTTTATATGTATTTATCTCATTTATATTTAAAGGGTATAGATTAATATTTATTCATTAAAATATTT